AGGACTTTCCCCCTACTATATCCACACATCTCCTTTAAAGCACTTTACTGGATTTGAGACTGGTATTGAGACTGTTGTCTTAAATCTGTTCTTCACAGCTGGGAGCTGGAATTCAAAACTCCCATTAAAAAAAGAGTCAATATTCCTTACTGCTTGTCCTGGTGTTCTGTTCATTCTGGCTGTTTCCCTGATCACTGGCCCTTCCTCCCCTCATTACCTCAACTCTTGGAATGGTCCTACATTTATAGGATGTCCAATATTATATGTTCCTAATTTTAATTGACCAAGGTAGCTATATACCAAACCATGTATCAAATCTCATGTCCAGCATCTCCAAAGGGTACTATCTGATGCAATAGCACCTGTATGCATGCGTGCTATCAGAAGTTACTCCCTGTCCGAGTATGCTACATGGACGCTAAAATGTTTAGCTCCACCCTGAAAAGATGTCAACTGCAGCCAATATTCAAAGTAGATGCTGTTCTAGTTCAAGGATTTGCCAGTACCCTATAATCTATGGTAAACAAGTGTATAACATAAAACAGAGATAAACCTTAAAAGCTTCACCAACTCAGACCTATTTAGTTTTACACAAATGCTGTATGTGCAGTTCAACTTTTTATTTTCAAATCCTGTGCAAGTCTCCTGTGGACTCCTTAACTGTTTGCATTCAGAACTGATATCTCCAAGCTTTTTGAGACATCACTGGTTCACCTGTCTGCCACATTCAGTGTTTTGCTTTGACTTTTCTTCTTGCATCTTTATGTTTCTTCCGACAATCCTGGAAGAGTTGTATGTTAAAATTAGAATCTGGTAACTACATTTGTGATAGTATTAATCATTTCAGTTTCAGCTAGCTAGTTCTATATTGTATAGCAACAGGCAGCAATTTGAAAAGCATAAATGAAAGTTGCATAAGGTACCTCTACACATTCTCCAAGCTAGGACAAATATAAGTTAATCAGCACCACAAAGCCTTTAAAATCCATTATAATAGACATTCAGGATGGTTTTGTGACTGATACCATCCCACGTGCCTTGATAAATTAATTAAAAATTAGAGGGTGATCTAGAGAGTGACACCCTGGACCTCTCAGGGCATTTTGCTGAACCAAAAGTATCTGAACTAATTCAGGGACACACTGGAAATCAGCAGCCTTGGTTGGAATGATTGGAATCCATGTATACTAAGGTAGTCAGTCTTCATTACAGATAAGATTGCAGTCTCCTCGAAACAAACACCCACTGCTGGCACCCTGATGTCAACCAAGGTCACCTGAGAGGTGGAGGGTATGTTTTATGAGGAGCCACATCTGGGACTCCTTGGATGCCACTCCTGATCTTTGGAACTTCCTTTCCCATGAATTATTTGTGACCCCTTTGTTGCTGGCCTTCTAATGGCAGCTAAAAATATTTTATTTCTATTTCAGAAGGCTTTTAAAATCTAAATGTCTGGCTTGGTTTCAAACTGTGGTTTTACTGCCATGTTTTTCTGACTTAATTATAAAGCAACAAAATGGAAGTTATTGTCATCAGCTATCAGCTGCTTTAAACAATCGCTATCCTACAGCCTACCACTCCACTCAGCAAAATGTAGTTGCCTAAGGAGCCTTCATTCCATTTAAGCAGCTCTTTAAGCCAGAAGAAAGTTTCAAACCTTACTGAGTGGAATGGTAGGATGCAGGCCACTAACTGGAAAGATGTCATGTAAAATGTCCTGAATAAACAGTGTTCAAAGGACTGTCACGACTCCTTTTAATTTTATGTTGACAGCATGTTTTAAAATACTTGTGGCTTAACTTCTGGTCACAATTAATTATGCCGACAATTTATAAATGCTGTATAGCCTGGGTCTAGTGTATCATGGGGAGCATCTTCTCCCACATGATTGCATGTCCCCCTATTCAGATGTAAAAAATCCACAATGGCATAAAGAATGGTGAACCCACAG